CTCGAGTCCTTCTGTTCACCCGACCTAGAATATCTCACAATCAAATGCCGACCGTATTATCTCCCAAGATAATTATCTTCGGTTATAGTCACGGCCGTGTATATCCCCCCTCAAGCCGATACCACGACGGCCCTCAAAGAACTTCACTGGACCTTATGCAAACTGGAAACCACATATCCTGAGGCTGCATTTATTGCAGCCGGGGATTTTAACAAAGCAAATTTGAGGACTAGGCTGCCGAAGTTCTATCAACATATCGACTGTTGTACTCGCGCTGCTAAAATCCTCAACCGTTGCTATTCAAACTTACGGGATGGTTATAAGGCCCTCCCCCGCCCTCCGGCAAATGTGACCACGACTCCATTTTGCTTCTCCCTTCCTATAGGCAGAAACTCAAACAGGAAGTACCCGTGCTAAGGACTATTCAACGCTGGTCTGACCAATCGGAATACACGCTTCAAGATTGTTTTGATCACACGGACTGGGATATGTTCCGGGTAGCTTCCGAAAATAATTTAGACATATACACTGAAACAGTGACTGAGCTTATCAGGAAGTGTATAGGTGATGTTGTGCCCACTGTGACTATTAAAACCTACCCTAACCAGAAACCGTGGATAGAAGGCAGCAGTCGCGCAAATCTGAAAGCGCGAACCACCGCATTCAACCATGGCAAGGTGACTGGGAATATGGCAGAATACAAACAGTGTAGCTACTCACTCCGCAGGGCAATTAAACTGGCAAAACATCAGTATAGAGACAAAGTGGAGTTGCAATTCAACGGCTCAGACACGAGACGTATGTGGCAGGGTCTACAGACAATCACGGACTACAAAAAGAAAACAAGCCACGTCGCCAACACTGACGTCTCGCTTCCAGACATGCTAAACACCTTCTTCGCCCGCTTTGAGAATAAAACAGTGCCACTGACGAGGCCCACTACCAAGGACTGTGGCCTCTCCTTCTCCATGGCCGACGTGATTAAGACATTTAAGCATGTTAACCCCTGCAAGGCTGCCGGCCCAGACGGCATTCCTAGCTGTGTCCTCAGAGCATGCGCAGACCAGCTGGCCGGTGTGTTCATGGACATATTCAATCTCTCCCTTTCCCAGTCTGCTGTTCCCACATGCTTCAAGATGGCCACCATTGTTCCTGTACCCAAGAAAGCAAAGGTAACTGAACTAAATGACTATCGCCCTGTAGCCCTCACCTCTGTCATCATATGAAGTGCTTTGAGAGACTAGTCAAGGATCATATCACCTCTAACTTACCTGTCACCCTAGACCCACTTCAATTTGCTTACCGCCCCAATAGATCCACAGACGATGCAATTGCCATCACACTGCACACTGCCCTATCCCATCTGGACAAGAGGAATACCTATGTAAGAATGCTGTTCATTGACTATAGCTCAGCATTCAACACCATAGTACCCTCCAAGCTCATCATTAAGCTCGAGGCCCTGGGTCTGAACCCCGTCCGGTGCAACTGGGTCCTGGACTTCCTGACAGGCCACCCCCAGGTGGTGAAGGTAGGAAACAACTCCCTGTTCACCCATGACTGCGTGGCCAAACACGCCTCCAACTCAATCATCAAGTTTGCAGAAGACACAACAGTAGTAGGCTTGATTACCAACAATGACGAGACCGCCTACAGGGAGGAGGTGAGGGCTCTGGGAGTGTGGTGCCAGGAAAATAACCTCTCACTCAACATCAACAAAACAAAGGAGATGATCGTGGACTTCAGGAAACAGCAGAGGGTGCACCCCCCTATCCACATCGACGGGACCGCAGTGGAGAAGGTGGAAAGCTTCAAGTTCCTTGGCGTACACATCACCGACAAACTGAAATGGTCCACCCACGCAGACAGTGTGGTGAAGAAGGCGCAACAGAGCCTCTTCAACCTCAGGAGGCTGAAGAAATTTGGCTTATCACCTAAAACCCTCACAAACTTTTACAGATGCACAATTGAGAGCATCCTGTCGGGCTGTATCACCGCCTGGTACGGCAACTGCACCGCCCACAACCGCAGGGCTCTCCAGAGGGTGGTGCGGTCTGCCGAACGCATTACCGGGGGCAAACTACCTGCCCTCCAAGACACATACAGCACCCGATGTCACAGGAAGGCCAAAAAGATCATCAAGGACATCAACCACCCGAGCCACTGCCTGTTCACCCCGCTATCATCCAGAAGGCGAGGTCAGTACAGGTGCATCAAAGCTGGGACCAAGAGAATGAAAAACAGCTTCTATCTCAAGGCCATCAGACTGTTAAATAGCCATCACTAGCACATTAGAGGCTGCTGCTGCCGATTGAAATCATTGGCCACTTTAAGAAATGGAACACTAGTCACTTTAATAATGTTTACATATCTTGCACTACTCATCTCATATGTATATACTGCATTCTATTCTATAATATTCTTCTGTATCTTAGTCCATGCCGCTCTGTCATTGCTTGTCCATATATGTATATATTCTTAAATCCCATTCCTTACTTTTTTGTGTGTATTGGGTATATGTTGTGAAATTGTTAGATATTACTGCACTGTCGGAGCTAGAGGCACAAGCATTTCGCTAGACCTGCTATAGCATCTGCTAAACACGTGTATGTGACAAATAAAATTTGATTTGATTTGATTTGATTTAAATAGAAGGGAGAAGTGATCTTTCGGGGCGTAGGGGACAGAGCAGCTTTGCCAGAGGGGAAGTCCTCTGGGTCACTGCTGCTTAGTAACCAGCACAGTCCCACAGCAGTTGATGCTGGTCATTAACATAGGCACAGTACATTCATAATAGATGAGTGTGGCCGAACAACAACAACTATGGATTCTATACCAGTGTAGGTTTGTCTCCTGTGGAATGAATGTAGGCTAGGCTATACAGAAGGGCACAATACTGGTATTTCTGTGGTTCCAATGGAATCTGGTCACAAATCATTGAAATGTACACAATATCCCCTCTCATCCTGCTACCTATCACGGTCTTCAGGAGAAAAATAACAGAAGAGTGGCATGGTGCCACTGAATTAGCATAGGTAGGTACACTACATGACCAAAAGTATGTGGACACCTGCTCGTCCTACATCTCATTCCAAAATCATGGGCATTAATATGGAGTTGGTCTCCCCTTTGCTGCCTCCTCTCTTCTGGGAAAGCTTCCCACTTGATATTGGAACATTGCTGCGGGGACTTGCTTCCATTCAGCCACAAGAGCATTAGTGAGGTCGGGCACTGACGTTGGGCGATTAGGCCTGGCTAACAGTCGGCGTTCCAATTCATCCCAAAGGTGTTCGATGGGTTTGAGGTCAGGGCTCTGTGCAGGCCAGTCAAGTTCTTCCACAGTGATCTCAACAAACCATTTTCTGTATGGACCTCGCTTTGTGCACAGGGGCATTGTCATGCTGAAACAGGAAAGGACCTTCCCTAAACTGTTGCCACAAAGTTGGAAGCACAGAATCGTCTAGAATGTCATTGCATGATGTGGCATTAAGATTTCCCTTCACTGGAACTAAGGGGCCTAGCCCAAACCATGAAAAACAGCCCCAGACCATTATTCCTCCTCCACCAAACCTTACAGTTGGCCCTATGCATTTGGGCAGGTAGCATTCTCCTGGCATCCGCCAAACCCAGATTTGTCCTTCGGACTGCCAGATGGTGAACAGTGATTCATCACTCCAGAGAACACGTTTCCACTGCTGTGAGCTTTACACCACTCCAGCCGACGCTTGGCATTGCGCATGGTGATCTTAGGCTTGTGTGCAGCTGCTCGGCCATGGAAACCAATTCATGAAGCTCCCGACAAACAGTTATTGTGCTGACATTGCTTCCAGAGGCAGTTTGGAACTCAGTAGTAAGTGTTGCAACCGAGGACAGACAGCTTTTACGCGCTTTGCGCTACAGCACTCGGCGGTCCCCTTCTGTGAGCTTGTGTGGCCTACCACTTTGCAGCTGAGCCGTTGTTGCTCCTAGAAGTTTCCACTTCAAAATAACAGCACTTACAGTTGACCTGGACAGCTCTAGCAGCATACATTTGATGAACTGACTTGTTGGAAAGGTGGCATCTTATGGTGGTGCCCCGTTGAAAGTCACTGAGCATTTCAGTATGGTCATTCTACTGTCAATGTTTGTCTATGGAGATTGCATGGCGGTGTGCTTGATTTTATACACCTGTCAGCAACGGGTGTGGCTGAAATAGCCAAATCCACTCATTTGAAGGGGTGTACTCATACTTTTGTATGTATAGTGTATATGGAATAGTCTTGAGTTCATTGATTTCATTTTCTCAATTGACAAATCTTGCCATTTGGATCAGAACCAGAGGGCATAGGCCTACTACAATCAGGTTTTAAAACAACAGATTTGTAGAATAGATTTAGCCTCTACCCGCGACATATTCATACATAGTCATTTCAACTCCTGGTTATAAATGTTGGTGTGCTTTTAGTTTTTATTTTCCGTTTCTTTCCACAAATCCATCGTGACTCTTGAGTGATCATATAAATCCAAGCGAAGATTGCTTACTGCTTTGAGGTGCAAGATCAGATTGAACTTCGCTGGTGGTGCAGGAGCACCGCACGACTCCTCTCTTTCCCACAATTCATCGCGCGCGAGCCTGCGCCGGCTGTCTGTGGTGCTGAAGCGGCGCGTGCCGGGGGTTCGAGCGCAGACACAATCGAGGCATCCTCTCGCGCGATGGTCAGAGGAGCTCCGAAATAGAAGAAGAGTGGTTGTAATTCAGGAATCCAAGCCAATTATTTGTGATTTTTATATAAAATAGAATTTACGGTAGTCTGAATTTGTGTAAGCTGTTTTGATTGCTTATAGCCTATTTGCGCGGTACGTGTTAGGTTTTTAGATAGCCCTCACCCTATATTCTCTCGCTCTCATCTTTATTGTTGTTGCCTACGGGCTTTCTTTACGCACAGCCCCAGTCCTCTCCGAGAAAATAGACCCTCGCGTCGGAACAGCATGGCCGGGTCCAGTCGCACCCACTGAGAGAGATGGAAGCCAAGCAGCACTCCATAAAGAGCCTGAAGAGCTACCCAGAGGCGGGGGGCCGGAGCCTGGCGGCGGCGGCGGGAGACGTCGGCGTTGGAGGTGGTGGAGGGTCTCGTGCCGGCTCGGCACAGATGGAGATGGAGGCAAACATACAGAAAGCCATTGACTTCAAGGTGGAGGGCCACCGCTGCTACAAGGAGAAGAAATTCCGGGAAGCGATAGGGAAGTACCACCGGGCTCTGCTGCAGCTGAAAGGGGTACATTTAGTTGATGGAACCTCGGGCTCCGAGGTCAACCTCCTGAGCCAAGCCGCGGTCAAGCTGACGGAGGAGCAGCGGAGAACTGTGGAGATCACGGAGATCGAGTGCTACGACAGCCTGACAGGTGAGTAGCTAGCCTAGTCGGTGTTTTTGATCGGCGTCGCGCGTCCACGCAACGGGAGAGACCCCGGCTCTTGAGGGGCTTGAGCCTGGAAGCTCGTGTTCTGAGATTGAACCACGGCTGCCATTGTTCGTTTCGGTTCACCGGGTTAGGAAGGAACGAGTTTAGACAATTAGCCAGTGTCAAGCATAATTTCCGCTGCTGTGAGGCCTGTATGGGGGTAGGTTAATAAGAATTGGCTTAATAATACATTAATAGCTCGTGCATTGCACAATGGACAGCGCCATGGTGCTGAATTTAGACGGGTAGATAGCGAATGTGTCCATATTTTTCATTGTGTGATATTCCTGCCATTTCAACGTGAAATGTATGGCCAATCTTGATTAAAGGTCCAATGCAGCCATTTTCATCTCAATATCAAATAATTTCTGGGAAATAATTAAGTACCTTACTGTGATTTTTTTATACATTTACATATTAGTAATTTATCCAGAGCGATTTACATGAGCAATTAGGGTTAAGTGCCTTGCTTAAGGGCACATCGACAGATTTTTCACCTAGTCGGCTCGGGGATTAGAACCGGCAACCTTTCGGTTACTGGCACAACGCTCTTACCCACTAAGCTACCTGCCGTTTTCAATAACAAATGTAAAAAATAAAGAAAAATAGCTTCTTAGCATAGAGCAATTTCTCGAGCAATAATTGTCCTAGGACTGACTGGAATTGGACTGAGTTGGGAGGAAAAAACAGAAAACTAGCTGTTATTGGCAGAGAGTTTTGGAACTCTCTTTGTTATTGGTCTGTTAACTAATGTCACCAGGCAGGCCAAAACTCCAAACAGGCTGAAATTTCAGGCAGTCTTTTCGAACATCTCTTACACTAAAAGGGCATTATCATTTTCACAATTTCACAGTATTATTCCAACCTCATAGTGTGGAAATATATATATAAAACACTGGAAAATCATGTTTTTGACTGCACTGGGCCCTGATGATTCCTTTATTAGTAACTGGCACACAGGTTAATTATAATACCTTATCATTTGTGTGCTAGACTCGTTTTTGCCTCAAGCCATATCTTCCTCTTGCGATTCTTATCAAGTTTTTTTTTCAATATCAGACTCTCTTTGTTGTGCTCCATTGAAGTTTATTTTTGGTTCTCTTGATTCCAAACCTTCTCCCACAGTTAATTCATTTGATAGCCATGGGGGAAACCAGTGATTTGATGGTGATCAGCTGTTAATGTAGTCAGTGGAAAGGCTATATTAACAGGAGTGTACATCCTGTGGAAAAGGGACACAAATACACACAGTGGGAGCCTGGGGTTATATGCTGCCATTTCATCCAACACATGATGTCTCCCACAGTGCCACTGTGTTGTTACAAAAACAGTTCACATGCTCTGAGGTGAGAAAACATGGTGTGGACAATCCCAGTTTACAGGTGAAATCTGTCTACATGGATCCTAGAATTACCTCACAAATACAAGTAATATGCCACTATGACTGCGTTTACACAGGCAGCCCAATTCTGATATTTTACCCAAATATTGACAAAAGAGCTGATCTGATTGGCCAAAAGACCAATTAGTGAAAAAAATCAGAATTGGGCTGCCTGTGTAAACGCAGCCAATGAATTGAAACTCACAACAATTTGTATGGTTAGAATAATTGACAATATTAGGACTCTTTTCTGGTCAGCATCATCATGTCTGGTCATCAAGGTTAATCCCTCTATCAAACCATGCACAAGTGTCAATTAAATAGGCTATGTATGTGTCATGTAATTAGAAAAGATCAACTGATATCTTACTCAGATAAACTTAATATCTCTAACAATGAGATATGAGTAAAGCTGAGCTTACAGATATTTGTTATTGGTAATTCTTTGAATAAGAAATAGGATAATCTATTCAACAGATGTGAGTGTGAGAGAATGTAACCTGCCAGATAATCTATGAAACAGATGTATGAGATGTGATTCTAACAGATACAGTAGTCTGTCTGGCAGATGTGAGTTGGCCTATAGGAGATTAGATGTGTCAGTGGGTCTAATGATGACAGGATAAAATATTGTTTACCACTGTGATAGTAGTCTGTCTACATGAGATTATGGCTAAGGTGTTATATAATGCATTGTGAAATCTATTTGGTGAGTGATATACTTTATGGTGCTGTCTTATTCATTTTGTTGACTATATCTATGAGGATTCAGCACCCTATTATTCAGAAGAATCTCTGATTCAGCATGCCATTTTAAGTAAAAGATATTCTAACAAACAGTTAACATGAAAATATAGAATGGTTAAAGGCAGGTTGGGTTGCTGTGGTGCTGGCTGTGTCTCTCTGTCCTGGCTCCGCTGGGTCCTGGCTCAGCTGGTGTGACAGGCTGAAGGTTGGCTCTCTCTGCCCCGTCTTATGGCCCTCTGTCTGGGCCCTGTGGGGAAGATACCCTGGCGTGAAGGAGAAAAAGAGTGGGAGGTCGGGGGATGGGAAGAGAGGGTAAAAGAACGAGAGGGAGAGTAAAAGAGAGAGGGGGAGAGAGAAGAAGAGAGGAAGAAAGAGAAAAGGAAGATGGAAAGCGAGGCAGCTACGAAGAGAGGGAGAGAGTGTGAGCGAGCGATAGGCGGCGTATTTTCCATGGCAACCATCACTGGGCTTTTTCCTGTTTTATTCACCTCATTCTGCTCTCACTTCTCACAATAACAAAGACCCATACACACAGGGATTGTTTGATATTTCGTGACCTCTCCCCCAATCTCACAGTGTTGAAAATAACAACAATGATAACAGTAATAGCAGTGATGGTGCTCATAGCCCACATTCTCTCAGTGGTGTACATTTTTCAGATAATGTATTTGTGATTATTTTATTTTAGAATGAATAAAAATACATTATTCGTACACATTTCATAAGACTGGAGACCTCTCCACCCTACCAACGGTCTGGTTACCCAGAGTCCTGCTGGACAGAAGGTGGCCCCTGTGGTGTTGAGTGAGGCAGTGTTTTGATTGGCCAGCTGTCTTAGTCTCTGACGCATGATACAGAGGCAACAGAGCGGACAGCCTTACCCTCAGCTCCTCTGTGTGTGTATGTATGTATGTGTGTGTGTGTGTGTGTCTGTGTGTGTGGGATTCCGTTTGTCTCAGCAATTGTAGCTCTGAAGAACAGCAGCTAACCAAGGGGGTATCTGATATGGGGAAGGGTGGGGGTGCATAGCTTGTTTCTCGCCCTGCCATTCCCACAGTGCCCATACTGACATTGCTGTGTGTGTGTTGTCTGTTTTTTTGTGTAGGGATGTGCAAGCTTATGTTGTTTTTACCAGATTCTGTCTGAGAGAGAGCCATTGAGATGAATGGTCTATTTGCCGTCGTCCTTGTTAAAAGAGCCAAAATCCTGTTTCCCCATGGGTCTGTGGGACTGTGTCTAAGTGGGTTACACCAGGCAGTCTGTCTGTAGCCAGTCTGGAAATGGTGCTGCAACATGTTGGCCAGAGGGAGGTATTTGGGATGAATCATGTTCTGCAGGCAGCACACCCACCCACCCAAACCACATACTGTGCTCACAGATACATGTGATAACAGCAAATATGCGAACATTTTCCACTGTTCTTTTCATACTTGGCACTCAAAGCACTTGAAAAAGACGTTGAAACGACGTTGAAAAGGCGTATTGAAATACGTATTTTCAATGTCTTGTGCTCACTGGGGAGGAAGAATATTAAAACAGCAGGAAGCAGTTGCTGCATTATTAGATCATTTTAGACAATACAGATTGCTTATTCAGATAAAGAGAGATCTTCTACAGAGCACAGATGTCAATTTTAAAAAATGAGTCAGGTCCAAACTCCTTTTGTGAGGGAGATTGAGCCATCTTTTCCTTGTCTCGTTTCCTCTGATCTCTGACTCAATTATTCCTTTGCTCCCTGTGATTGGCTCGATCGGTGCGTGAGTCATGAGTCACAGCCTTGGGTTGCTGCAGCAGCAGCACAACGTTATGAGCGGAACCACTTGTTACGTAACACCCAACACCTTTTATTCACTCATCAGGATGTTTCGTAACACCCAACACCTTTTATTCACCCATCAGGACGTTTCGTAACACCCAACACCTTTTATTCACCCATCAGGATGTTTCGTAACACCCAACACCTGTTATTCACCCATCAGGATGTTTCGTAACACCCAACACCTTTTATTCACTCATCAGGATGTTTCGTAACACCCAACACCTTTTATTCACTCATCAGGATGTTTCGTAACACCCAACACCTTTTATTCACCCATCAGGACATTTCGTAACACCCAACACCTTTTATTCACCCATCAGGATGTTTCGTAACACCCAACACCTTTTATTCACCCATCAGGACGTTTCGTAACACCCAACACCTTTTATGTACTGTTCTCAAATGCTCTTCTTACTGCCATGATGATCCAGCAACATCCACCCACTTGTGTGTGTGTGTGTGTGTGTGTGTGAGAGCTCTACTACTGAGCAGCAGATCCACCCATAGCCCTTTCAGGAGACTGGCTTTCTTTTAGACACAATGCATTAAGCCAAAGAGCTGCGATGAGGGCATGATGGACACTTTACAAGGTTTAGGCTGTGCATTATTTCATCGATGTCCATTAACATTTTGCTGCGGTATGTTTATACTAATCCATCAGGCTCCTAGAATGCTCATGGGGTTCATTTACAACTAACTGGAGGTAGTGGGTGTATCAACATCACCTCCATTAGCTCCATCACTGGCCAGTGTGTGTGTGTGTGTGTGTGTGTGTGTGTGTGTGTGTGTACGCATGCTTGTGTGTATCCGTGTCTGATGTAAAGGGTCAATATTTCTCACCACATCCATTTCCACTCAGGGCTATTACATTGAGGTCATCAATGAACTTGTGACTCTTGACTTGCAATTACAGGCCCCCATAGTAACAAGACTTCAATGAGCGTGTAGGTACAGTATCATCAGCATCTGTTTCTCCCCAGACAAGGAATAGACAACCAAGAAATGAGATAAAAGTCAATTTACTGGGAGTTCCATTTGGCTCCCAGTGCCTCTACACATCCCCAACAATCTTGAGATTTATGACATCACTCTCTAATCATTCCAGAAGGGAACAGGGGTATAATACTGTTGGAGGCTGTATCCCAAATGGTACCCTATTCCCTACATAGTGCACTACTTTTGAACAGGCCCTGGTCAAAAGTAGTGCACTATATAGGAAATACAGTGAGGGAAAAAAGTATTTGATCCCCTGCTGATTTTGTACGTTTGCCCACTGACAAAGAAATGATCAGTCTATAATTTTAATGGTAGGTTTATTTGAACAGTGAGAGACAGAATAACAACAAAAAAATCCAGAAAAACACATGTCAAAAATGTTATAAATTGATTTGCATTTTAATGAGGGAAATACGTATTTGACCCCCTCTCAATCAGAAAGATTTCTGGCTCCCAGGTGTATTTTATACAGGTAACGAGCTGAGATTAGGAGCACACTCTTAAAGGGAGTGCTCCTAATCTCAGTTTGTTACCTGTATAAAAGACACCTGTCCACAGAAGCAATCAATCAATCAGATTCCAAACTCTCCACCATGGCCAAGACCAAAGAGCTCTCCAAGGATGTCAGGGGCAAGATTGTAGAACTACACAAGGCTGGAATGGGCTACAAGACCATCGCCAAGCAGCTTGGTGAGAAGGTGACAACAGTTGGTGCGATTATTCGCAAATGGAAGAAACACAAAAGAACTGTCAATCTCCCTCGGCCTGGGGCTCCATGCAAGATCTCACCTCGTGGAGTTGCAATGATCATGAGAATGGTGAGTAATCAGCCCAGAACTACACGGGAGGATCTTGTCAATTATCTCAAGGCAGCTGGGACCATAGTCACCAAGAAAACAATTGGTAACACACTACGCCGCAAGGTCCCCCTGGTCAAGAAAGCACATATACAGGGCCGTCTGAAGTTTGCCAATGAACATCTGAATGATTCAGACGAGAACTGGGTGAAAGTGTTGTGGTCAGATGAGACCAAAATGGAGCTCTTTGGCATCAACTCAACTCGCCGTGTTTGGAGGAGGAGGAATGCTGCCTATGACCCCAAGAACACCATCCCCACCATCAAACATGGAGGTGGAAACATTATGCTTTGGGGGTGTTTTTCTGCTAAGGGGACAGGACAACTTCACTGCATCAAAGGGACGATGGACGGGGCCATGTACCGTCAAATCTTGGGTGAGAACCTCCTTCCCTCAGCCAGGGCATTGAAAATGGGTTGTGGATGGGTATTCCAGCATGACAATTACCCAAAACACACGGCCAAGGCAACAAAGGAGTGGCTCAACTCAAGAAGAAGCACATTAAGGACTTAATGACTTGGAGAAGATCTGCAAAGAGGAGTGGGACAAAATCCCTCCTGAGATGTGTGCAAACCTGGTGGCCAACTACAAGAAACGTCTGACCTCTGTGATTGCCAACAAGGGTTTTGCCACCAAGTACTAAGTCATGTTTTGCAGAGGGGTCAAATACTTATTTCCCTCATTAAAATGCAAATCAATTTATAACAATTTTGACATGCGTTTTTCTGGATTTTGTTGCTGTTATTCTGTCTCTCACTGTTCAAATAAACCTACCATTAAAATTATAGACTGATCATTTCTTTGTCAGTGGGCAAATGTACAAAATCAGCAGGGGATCAAATACTTTTTTCCCTCACTGTAGGGTGCCATCTAGGATAGTCCTCGGTGCTATATAATACAGCAGAGGGGGTGCTATCTATCACAAGGCCTAGCCTACTATACAGGCCAGTCAGCCCCCTCTTATGAAACCAGAGTGGACCATCAAAAGTCCCACTACCAGTAACGTCACTAGAGGAGGAGATGGAGAGGATGAAGTGTATGGAGGAGGAAGAGGAGGTGTTGGAGAGGAAGAGCGAGGGATAGACAGGGTATGAGGTGTATGGAAGAAGAGGAGGAGGGTGGAGGGGAAAGTATATGGGGAGGGAGAAGGGAAAGAAAGGGTGGATTTTATGGGGGAGGAAGAGGAGGACAGAGGGGGAGAGAGGAAGGTGAGGGTGAAAAGAAGGAATGGGGTCGGGGGGTGTTTTTCCTTGGTTCGTATGTTGGCTGTTCAGGGGTTGCGCGGTTGTATGAGAGCCATGGGCGCGTTGTGCCAGTTCTGCAGATGGCATGGCATCGCTGTGGGGGCTCGACTGGGCACGCTGTACTCTCCTCTTTACCATTCCATTGCAGCCAAGAGAGAGGGAACGAGAGAGAGAGAGACAGAGAGAAGGGGGGAGGGTCAGGGAGCCAAGAGGAAAGGCACTGAGCGTGAAGAGGGGGAGGGTGGGTGAAAGAGAGCGAGAGAAACTGGACAGGGTGTTAAGGGAACTGTTAAATATGAAGGGATTAGAAGAGGGATAGAGATGGAGATGGAGAGAGAGAGAGGGGGAAGAAAAGAGTGAGTTGACTTGGGTGGACCTTTTTGTCCTCTGGGAGGAGGAGGGAGTATGTTACGTTGTTCTTCATTGCTACATTTGCATATCATTTTTCATTGTAAGTATGGTGATGAGAAATCCCATCCAAGGCTAACGGTATTATATCATCGCCCTGGCAGAGCTAGAGTGCTCTTGTCATGGCAGTAAATAAGATCCAGTCATCTGCGAAGGAGGGAGGGAGGGAGATAGAGGGAAGGAGGGTGAGAGAGAGAAAGAGAGAGATATTGAGAAAGAGAGAGAGAGATGCAGAGAGTAAAAACATACAGAGTGTTCTTGGTCAACAGCTACCGTAATGAGAATTTTGTAAGAATAATTTGTGCATATCTAACACACTGTGCTCCAGTGGACAGGAGAGACAACTTGGTATTTATCCAGAAAGCTGCATGTTAATATAGGCGGGGTCCACACTATGTTCCCTCAGCCCTAGTTTCCCTCAGCCCTATGTTCCCTCAGCCCTAGTTTCCCTCAGCCCTATGTTCCCTCAGCCCTAGTTTCCCTCAGCCCTATGTTCCCTCAGCCCTAGTTTCCCTCAGCCCTATGTTCCCTCAGCCCTAGTTTCCCTCAGCCCTATGTTCCCTCAGCCCTAGTTTCCCTCAGCCCTATGTTCCCTCAGCCCTAGTTTCCCTCAGCCCTATGTTCCCTCAGTACCCACTGACCCAATTTCAAATGGCACAAATGATTATTGTTATAAGGTAGAAAATGCGCATTATTTTAGTATCTACATATACAAAACATTAAGAACACCTGCTCTTTCCGTGACATAGACTGACCAGATGAACCCAGGTGAAAGCTATGATCCTTATTGATGTCACTTGTTAAATCCACTTCAATCAGTGT